GACGTCGTGGTCCTCGTCTGCCTCTCCCAGCCTGTGTGGCCCCGGGGCTGAAACGACGACGAGGAGGAGGAGGCCGGGGGCCGGGTTGTGCTCCTGGGAGCGCGCTCAGAACCAGCTGCTTGGCAGCGAGGCATGCGCATTGCAGGGCGCCCTCTCACCCCGCTCAGCTATGCCAAGTATGTGAACGGCAGCCGCCGCCGCCGCGAAAGCCGAGAGCCAGGCGCTCACCCCCGACCACCAGCTCCTAGAGAGACCATGGGGCGCAACTCCTGCCAGGCGGACGACCGTGTGCTGCGCTTGCCGCCGCCGCCGCCACTCCCGCTCCCGCCGCCGCCTTCCTCCGAGGGCCACCCTGCCGCCAGACCCTCGGGCTCGCCGGGGGCCCGAGCCACTCGCTGAAAGGAGGCGTGCGGAGGAGGACGACGACGAGGAGGCATGGCTGACCCGCTCCGCAGGACTCTCTCCAAGCTGCGGGGCAGGCGCTCGCAACGCGGGGCCACCGCCTCCGAGGAAGCGGCCGGGCACGCCAAAGACGGCGGCGTCCTTCGGAGTAAAGCCCAACGGGGTCTCCACTTCCAAGGCAACGGAGCGGCGACGGGGATCGCGCCCTCCGCGCTGCTGGACGGGCGGACGGCCGCTGGGGAGGAGGTCCGGGTGCCTGCCTCGGAGGAGCCGGGAGCCAGGCGGGAGGTGGCCGCTTGGTCCACGCGAGGAAGGGCGGCGATGGCTGGGGAAAAGGTGCCCGGAGGAGCCGGCCCCTGCCCTCCCAGAAGCGGCGAGGAAGGGTCCCCGCAGCATCCGCCCAGCCCCCGGGGGCTTCGGGCGCTTCCACCGGTCGAGCTCTGTTCCTCCTCCTCTTCCTCCTCCTCCTTTACCCCGAGAGGCGCGGGATCGGGATCTGCTGCTGCCCTGGAGCAAGGAGGAGGCGGGAGCGAAGACGACGATTACTACGACAACGGGAGCCTGCTGCCCGGCTGGGGCTGCCAAGGAGCGCCCGGGGCGCACGAAGAGGCTCGGGGGAGGCAAGAGGGCAGCGTGGGCGCCCTCCCCGTCGGCGGCAACAACCACAACCACAACAGGGCCCGGGCGCGGGAGAGCACCGGCAGGCTCCGCAGCCAGCTCCAGGAGGCCTATTACCTGCTCATCCACGCCATGCACGACCTGCCCCCGGCGAGCCCTAGCGCCGAGGTCCGGGGCCGCCAACCCGCCCCCCGCCCGCCTTCCTTCAGAGCTGTCGAGGGCCAGGAGAGCGGGAGCGGCTCGGCTTCCCCCTGCGAGGGCGACTGCTCTCAGGTGCAAGCGTCCGATGCCGGCCCCCGAAGCGCAGCCGGGAGCCCTCTCTGGCGCCCGGGCATCAGCAAGAGCCTGGAGAGCCTTCTCCGCGCCCAGTCCTCGACCCCATCGCCGCCCTGGCGGAGGTGTCGGAGCGACGGGGAGCTCCGGCCGGGCGAACGGGAGGCTGCCCGCGGCCACCTGCTGCACAAGGAACCGCCGCCGCCGCCGCCACCACCTCCTGGCATAAGGCGGGAAGCTGGTTTGCTCGCATCTGCCGCTGGCTGCTCCGGAGACAGCCGCTGCCAGCGGAGCCCGAGTAGCAACAGCCGCGTTGGCGAGGCGCCTCCGCCGGCTCTCCGCGAGGACGTGGAGCCGCTGTTGGTTCCCAAGTTCGGGCCGGAGATCTCTAGCGCCCTGGGCCAGGCCATGGGCCCCGTGGACCCGTCGGCGGGTGCCGGCGGCGGCGAGAAAAGAAGCCCCTCGCCCCTCCACGAGGGCCCCTTCAAGCCGCCGGCCGTGACGGTGAGGAAGCTGCAGAAGTGGATGTACAAAGGGCGCCTTCTCTCCCTGGGCAGGGGAGGCCGGGTCCAGGCCGCGGGAGCGCCCTCCTCCCCTTCTCCTCCCGCCAAGGCCGTCGGGACCTGTGGGCCCCTTCTGGGCAGAGCAGAGGGGGGCCGAGCCTCTCCTCCCTCCGGCCCCTCGAGGGGCCCAAGCGGCGGCCGGGCCTTCCTGCCCCCTGCAGACCAAAGAATCTTCCTGACAGGTAAATGCCCCCCCCCGCCGCCTCCGACTGCCCCCTTCCCTTCCTCAGGGTCCCGCCGCCCTGCTTTATGGGGAGGTCATAAAAGGTTGCAGCCCCAGTTGGTATGTATATACCACATTTCTAGCTTCTCCTTGCTTGGGAGGAGCTTGACCTGAAGAATTGCTGTTGGAAGCCCTGCCTTTTAAAAAGTAGCAGTTCTGCCTGAGCGGTTTTCTTGCCTTTGCCAGAGCAGCCAAGCTCTTCACAAGCGCTGATGGCAGAGTAGCCTGGCTTTTTTTTGGCTTTTTTTTGGTCCGAGTAACGTTATTCTTCACAGCAGTGACAAGTGAAGCTGAGAAACTACAATAATAATGTTCAGTGTGGTACCATGCTTAACAGCATGTTTAATTTAAAAAGCATGCAAATGCAAATAAATGAAAGGCATTTAGCAGAACCAGTTTGCTGAAATCATAGGAGAAAAAGTAGCATTTTAATGGTGTAGATTGTTTGTAATGCTCTTCCTAACCACTGTGCCTCTTACAAATCTGTGGAGTTTCAGGTTGAGTTACTTCTGGTATTCTGGTTACTAATGTCTTGGGCTTTGGCATGAGCCAGCCAAGTTAAAGCACAGTTGTGTCCCATGGATTCAACAGGTGCCTTATGTTAAGTGCTGTCAAGTCACTTATTAGCTATGGCAACCCTGATAAAGTTTTTAAGGTACATGAGATGTTCAGAGTGGTTTGTCATTGCCATCCACCTGCAAGTTTCCAAGTGGGGATTTGAACTCAGGTCTCCTGAATCTTAGTCCTCCCCCAATGCCTCCTGTACTCCTTGATTTACAGAGGACATGGCAGAGGAAGGATCCAGACTTGATAGGACATTCTGTGCTGCAGATAAAGGGATGGATCCAGACTTAATCATTCTCAGAGCAGACTACTTGGAATCAGCCGGACTTAAGTTTGTCATGACTAACAAGTCTCATTCGTTGCAATTGGTGAACTTTAAGAGTGATTAAGTAAGTCCAGCCCATATATTGCAAGACCTTGTGCTTTGCCTGTTTACTAGTTTATCTCCTATGCCACACTTCAAATATTTTAATTGTATTTCCTTTCAAATTTGTGTGGAATTTAGGAAATGAGTTGTTAATTAAACCATAACTTTAATCCCCCCCCCCAAATGTTAGTTTGAGGACAAGGAATGTCATATTCCCTTTCTGATCCATCCCTATCCATGTATGGCCAGTGGCCAGTTGAAGACTGAGGAGTGTACTGTATTTCAGCAGCTCTGGTTATAAGCAAGCAAGGTGCATTGGGCAGGGACAACCCCCGAACCCCAATGTATGAATGTGCCTATTCAAGCACTGTTTCCTCGCATTATTTCTGTGGGCACACAAGGGTGAGGCATTCCAAGAAATGTTGCCAAACCAACATTGATAGTTCCAGAAAATGCTTCCTTTTATATATTAATCTTCCATGTATTGCTAAAGTGAGTTAATAACTCACTTATTCAAGTGCCTACATGTGAAGCAACTTTCCCACTTGTTAGGTCTCTGTATTCGATTTTAACATGTTCAGATTATTACAAAATAGTCCAGTTTTACATAGAGAAAGGAGACACTAGACACTGAACTAGAGGGAGAGAGTCATGGTTCTTTTACTGGGAAGTCATAGTATTCAGTGCTTGTCTCAGAAATTCTGCAGGCTTAATGTGAAAGAGCGCTTGCTATGCCTTTTCAGACTAGTTGTGTTATTCTGTACAGTTTTCTGGTTAAGATCAATAAAACGGATAACTAATAATATGCTATATAGTATTTATGTTCTACCATTTCCCCTTATGCCTTTTCTTCACAACAGCAGTATTAGGTAGGACAGTCTGAGAGAGTCAACTGGGCTAAGGTCATTCAAACAGTTTTATGGCACCTTGGGAACGTGACACTTCATATTCCACATCATGAAACATACATTTTAAGGACAAGACCTGCAATTCAGTAGAATTTGACATTGGCTGACATCCTCTTGCTTAATGTAGTAAGTTGCACTAGAATAGGCCCATTGAATCAGTGGTAGTTTGATGAATCAACTCCTCCATGTGCATTGATTCAAATGGGCCTACTCTAGTTGTGACTTACTATACTAAACTAGATCCATTTTGAATCAAGAGGAATAGACTCATCAAATCTTGAATGAATGGTATTGTCTTGCTCTAGTGCAGTTTATTATGCTAAGCAACAGGATTTCAGTCGCTGTGTTTCCTTGTTAGGCTTCCCAGACTGAGGGATGCGGAGAGATACAAAAGATGCTACTCATCCAAAATAAATTCAGACTAACCCCTTAAAAACAAACAGGTCTTGGTATGGTATGCTTGGCATTGCAGCCACTATAATAATTGCCTCTGACTTAGTAGAACTTAAATAGTAAAATTTCAGCAGAAGCAGAAATGTAAATTGGAGTCACACCATCAAATCACAGGCATATGTACATTGGTATATATTCAGTGGGACTTATTTTCAGGTAAGTCTGCATAAGAATACATTGTTAAAAGATAGTGGTAAATATTGAGCATATTTTTGTCATTACATAGCTTTTTGTCAAATAACTTCTGGTTGGAATAGTCAGGATAAATAGAGAGAACCATTGTAGTACCCTGTTTCATTCAACTTGTTTTGTGTTTCTGGTGTTTTTTTCTTCTAAAAAACTAAACATAGTCATAGGTCTAGTTTATACAGTACATGTGTGATTAATGTGAGTAAGTTATGTATATGAGTTATTTAAAGCTTTATTAAATTCTTAAAGTTTAAGTGTCTAAAATCCAGGAGGAAACTCTTTGTTTTGTTTGCAAGCAGATTTGTGAGTTGTTATTCCTATTCTAGCAGACAAACAGCTAAATGTATATTTTAATAAAATTGGCCTGAATCCAGTTGGTAATCCCATCTAGGGTAGATCACTGGGTCACTGGGATGTATGTTAGTGGTGACTCGCCATGCAGCAGTTGATGTAATGGGTCTCTTCCAGTTGAGACCTCTGGTTATACAGTACTTAGGCCATATAGTCATACCTCAACTAAAGGTGTAGTCTGTATCTGTTTGAGAGGCAGCGTGGTGAAGTGGATAAGAGTGACAAATTTGGGCTTAGGAGACCTGGGTTCAAATCTCTGTTCTCCCATGAAAATTCACGGAAGGGGGGCGGAGTAATGGTAAACCACTCCCAGAACATTTTACATACCTTGAAAACCACGTGAAGGTCACTGTCAGTTGGAAGCAGCTTGACAGCACATAACACCAACCTACTTAACTTGGGGCTAAGCTCTGTCGTTCTTCCCTCAAAGTAGACCTGTACAGGATTGTGTGGTAAATCCAATTGGAAGCAGTCCCCGGTTGCTTCAAGAACTTACCCAAATAAATGCACCTGAGGATTGTTTCCATAGAGTTGTTTCACTAACAGCCAAAGTTTTACGTCTTTGGGATCCTGCTAAAGTGACCTAATACAAAGGAAGACAAGGATCATTTGCCTGTGCAGGAGTAGGATGTCTCGGCAAAATCAACATTTTCTCTTCTGCAGGGCCGTTACAGTAGTCTTGGAATTTTATTTTATTTGTGCACATTTTTCCTAGATTAAAGCAGGCAGCTGTGGCCCTCTAGATGTTTAGGACTTCAACCTCAGTCCTCGCCACTGGCTATACAGGCTAGGGCTAATAGGTGTTTGAAGGCCAGAACATCAGAAGGGCGCAGGTATTCACTTCTGCCTTAGATCTTCTTGAGAAAAATGAAGCACTTCAAGCTGCAGTCTGGCTTATGTCTTCTCATTCAGAAATATAGAATTCATATGAGAAGACTACTTGCATTAGTTTTTCCTTACGAACAGCTGTGTGGTAATAACTTTGAAAGAGCAGGTGCTCCTCATGAAAGTCTAGAGAGTTCAAAATGCAGGCAGCTGGATCAGTCCATGTCAAGATATGAGCAACAGGTCTTTTGTAAAATGAATGGTTCTTAATTGCACATTCAAGACCAAAACACTTCAGAATGTGTTGCATTGCAAAGGGGAGTGCTCGCAACAATACACTGTTCTTGGGAAAATAATTTTCTCTCTCAGCTACTGCGGGGGTTGCAGCTAAGTGGAAGAGGGAATAGGGAAGCCAGGATGTGTATGTGCGATAGTTCCAAGTCTTTTTGACCTGGTGATCTCAGGTTTTGCTACAGCACTGCCTACAAAAACAACTCTTAAGTTAATAGGAATTCAGATATCCCTTGTCTTCTGAACAGTGTGTGGTCCCTTGTTAACTATAAGTACTTACTTTCTAGTATAATTTCTTTCATGTTTTAACTTTTCCACATACTAAATAGCTACAGTGGAAAATGCTTTTCAAGGGTGGCTCCCCCTTCCCATTTTGTTTTAAGTTCTGTTTTAGGATTATGTCTGGTTTAAAATTTCATTGCTCTAAATCCTCCTAGGTTTATTGCAAAACACTCCTTCAGAAAAATATAATTAGCAGAAGCATTCTAAGTATTGGTTGCACAATAACATTACACTCTGTGTATTGTTGTACAGGCGTAGGAAGGGTGAAATGCTTGTAATTATGAGGTGTCTGTTAATTGTACAGACTTGAACAGTCACAGTAAAAGAAATAGACTTATTTCTGAAGTGTAGTTCGCTACACAGAGCACTGTCTTGCCCCACTGAATAATGACTTACTGCCTGGGGTTAAATGGTAAAAGAATTAAAAAGAAGCATTAATTAGCAATTTTTAAAACAAGGAACATACAGTATATGTTTGCAAATAACAGAGTTCCTAGGTCATATCACTGTTTTTATTTGTATGGGTGTTGTTGTTTAGTCGTTAAGTTGTGTCCGACTCTTTGTGACCCCATGGACCAGAGCACGCCAGGCCCTCCTGTCTTCCACTGCCTCCCGGAGTTGGGTTAAATTCATGTTGGTCGCTTTGATGACACTGTCCAACTATCTCGTCCTATGTCATCCCCTTTTCCTCTTGTATGGTACAGAGGCATAAATAAAGTCAAATGGACAGAACTTACATTCTCTTATTAATATTCAGGTAACATTTTTATTAGACCAACCCAAAGGGCACAGATATCCTATTGCTAAATTCTGCTAGTAATCATACCCTTACATTCAGTTAACTGCTGGGAACCGCTCTAGTAGCATGTCTCTTAAGGAGACTATACTATAATGAAACACACCCTTTCTTGGTCAGTTGAAATTAGAAGAATATTTCAAATCAAATATTTATTTATTTATTTATTGTATTTATACCCCGCCTATCTAGTCATTTCGACCACTCTAGGCGGCTTACAACATAAGGATAACAAGTTCTAAAAAAATTTATAACAATTAATTAATTAAATGATTCTATAAGATGGGAAAAATAAAAATATATATTTAGTGTACTTGCAAATCTTTACTCCAGAATCTTAAGGCAGAAGGTTGGGTAGTAAAAGATGGTGCTCCGAGAAAGAGTTGTAGATAGTGGGAAATGAGTGGGAGGCAATTTTCTTACTTACCCTAGATGAGTCCCTTCGGAGTTGAATCTAACAAGCTGGATTCACTTCCACCTTCGGTCACTTAAATTTGTTCAATTGCCTTGGCAGCTTTTTTTTCCAGCTGGTCACAAATACTATCTCGGTGCAGAAGATACTGAAGATAGTGACATAGCATTCTCCATGATAATACAATTGCAGCAGTTTTCTTCACTTTTACATATTTTGTATGAAGAACAAAGTCATTATTGAATAAAGTTTTTTTTTTTTTTAAAGAAAGATATGTGCTGATGTGTTTGATCTCTGGGAAGCAGGAGGAGTAAGTTTCCTAGAAGTGCATCTTTAATAGATCTAATCTGGAAGTATTTGCTCTGACTATTTGTCTCCCTTGATGATGGAAGGCAAGCTAATTAAGAGTTCTGTCTCTTGGTGGGCATTGATACAAAAATACACTAGAATGTCCTTGCACCTATTTTATTAAATATAATAGGAAACTGTGAGATAGAAATGGCAGTGAGTATCCTCTGTTGGTGTAATAGAAAATCACACGGTAAATACATCACTTTGTTTGTACTGTGTGTAGACTAAAAATAGGCACTAAGACTTTCCAGTACACTTTCATAGCTACACTGTGTCTTGCTCACCAGATGAGTGTTTATCAAGAGATGTGAGCAACGTTTACCGGGGGTGGGGGTATTCCCTTTTTTGCCATGTCTGTAACCTTGGAATGTGATGCAAGTTCAGACATACCCACAGCACCATTTTTAGCTATGTCAGGACTTCACTGTCAGTGTAGTTCGTTAGATTTGAGTATTTAGCCATCATAGCATGCAGACTTTTGCTGTCTGTTACTCAGTCTAGGCCCTTGTCTGTCCAGAAGTTATAGTGCAATTGCATGCATGGAATGCATTTAGACTACATGAACATGATCAAAATCAAGGTACTGTAGTGTCTTTTTCTCTCAGGGCTTTGGCCTTGCATCTGTGAAACAGTAGATTTTTTCAAGTCTTTTAGAAAGCTGCAGTGCCCTTTTCATTTTTCTTTAAAAATCCTGCACTCTGAATATTCAGCTGTTTTACAGGTTGAAGTGGTACAAAGCACATCTAAGTGCTCTGCTGAACTATGCTGTGTACATAGTGACCTCAGTGGTAACTAAATACATTCCCTTAAAATGTTCCAAACACTGTGAGAAATTATGAAGTGTTGATTCAAGTTTCCATGGGCTTCTTACATGCCTCCTTCTCTGCTTTTCGGTGCATGGTGGTTTTCAACTTGATTGGAACATTGGCTTTCTATAGCACTCTAGCTGTAATGCTAGGCACACTCTTATTGTGAGCAAGACCTGTTAGATGCAATGGGATTTCTGAGTAAACAGCTTAGCATTGGGCTCAGAGTGCTGTAATCTTGTGTACTCTCGGCATACATTTCACTGCAGTCAGTTGGACTTCTAAGTAAACACGTATAGGTTTAAGCAGAGATAATCTGCAGCCAGGTCCCATTTCATGTTTGCTTGGAAGTGAGTCCCAATGAGTTCAGTGGCATTTGAAGGCCAGTTTGAACAATTATAGTTAGTAAATTATTTTATCTTTTACTGTATTGCATTTTAATTATTGTAAGCCGCCCAGAGACCTCTGGGTAGTGTGAGCGGCATATAAATTGAATAAATAAATAAATAAATAAATAAATATGTTTAGGACCGCAGGGTGTGTTGTATGTCCAAAAACAAAACAAAATACTGTACACAGACACACATACATAGTAATTTCTGTGTATATGTAACACTTCAATTTAATGCTTTTAGAACGTGCCTGCATAAGCACCCTTGATGATGCTTTCAGCAGCTTTACTGGTTTTGCACTATTAAAAAACAAGCATGTTGAATGAATGCAACCTTTGTTGCATTTTCTCAGTTTAGAAGAGCTGTACGTCTATCTGGCAGGTTTTCTAATGCTTGCAAATATTCAGTTTGATCCAAACAAAATTGTGTTCAGAGTGAATCCATTGAAACCAAGGCCAACTAAGTTAGTTGTGACAAGAGCTTGATTTTTTAAAATTATTTTTTATTTTTGTACTATGGCCCGTATAGCTGGTTGGAGAATTCTGGGAGTTGTAGTTTAAAAAGAGCAGTGTTTCTAAGCTTTGGCGATGAGTGAGTCTGGATTCAACCTATTATGTTGACTGCATTCTATAAGCAGATGCTTGTAAAAAGGAAATATTAATCAGTTCCAAATAGATAAAGCTCTTGTATAAGCCTGCAGAGCAGCAGAATGTGTGATGGTGCATCACTAGAGCTATATTCAGATATTAAAAACAGCGATGAAGCCTCATGCAAAGAGGAAGCATGCTAGGCTTGTCCTGTCCTTTGTTGCTTTGATTTGTCTTCCTGTATATGGACGGTGATAGATCTGCAAGGGCTCTCCAAATGAATTGGACCCTGGAATACAGGGATTCAAGCTTACGTGGAGATGCAGCTTTTGACTTAATTCTGGATTTCAGCCAATGATGGCCTGAGGTTTGGGAGGCAGCTAAATTTCATTTGGTTGCTGCCTCTATCCCAGAGACCAGACTTGGTATGCACCAGCTTGGAGTAGTAACTCAGAACATAGTGTCTTCATACTGTCCTTGTCTGCTATGTCAAACAGAAGACGTTTCTCCTATGGATTTCAAGACACAGCATAAACCAGCAAAACAGTTGTCAGATTTTTTTAAAAAAAATCACCACCTGTTTACACTTGTGGAATACATTTCCTCAGCATATCTTTGACATTTAGTATTTATAACCAGAATATTTATTTATTTTAAATATTTTACCCCACTTTCTCTGTAAAAAAGACCCAAGGCAGCTTACAGTACATCATTAAAAGATAATATTTAAAAACTAAAAACTGTAAGTATACAAACATTTAAAAGAATCAAACAAATACAACACTAACAATGGTAAACCAAATCAACACCAAACACAGATTCAAAGCAACAGGGCACAGTTATATTACAATTATTGGGTTTGGCTTTCTTTTCTGGAACTGAACTTTTCAAGTATTGATCACAAAAAAATTATTGCAACACTAGAGTCTCTTTTTAAAAAAAGTTTAATGTAAACAAAATTCTGAAGATGCACTTGAAATGTAGACTAATGCTCTCATGCTCTTTCCCTTGACTCCCTTACAGATTTAATTGAAAATGTTTACATACCTTCTGTGAGGAGAAGAGAACTTAAGACCTTTAACTCCACTGAAGGTGCGGAATGCAAGTCGCGGATTGCTAACATCACTGTGTCCAAGAAGCGCAACTGGTTGCATCAAAGTTCTCTGAGGGTACCTAATTCAGAAAAAGGAAACTCTTACAAGAAATTGTCAGGAGAAAGGTACAAGATTCTGAAATCTTCTAACCCTATGCTTGAGCCGAAGATGCCTCAGAATTTCCTCAAACGTCTAGGGCAAGAAAGCCCTAAGAGGCAAATCAGTTCTGTGCATGTTGCTGAGAATGGGATGAGCCATTTTGCACTGCAGAATGGTACTTTGGAATTGGGGGAAGATAATGATGCAGATGATGAAGGAGAAATATGGTACAATCCTATCCCTGAAGATGATGTTCTTGACTTGCCACGTTTTCTAGGTGGTAATAATGCCAAGAATTTGGACTCTGAAGCTGTAAATCACAAGGTATCCTCTGCGAGTTATTTGGTTAACGTTGTAGGGCATAGTGAAAGCCTCCCACCTGTCTCAGACTGTGTTGGAAATGCTAAGTTTAGGGAAAGGAATCCCGTAGATGGTATGCATTCCATGGAACATTTGCAAGTGCACAAGCCAAAGCCTGCATGCAGTGTTCTAGCTGGCGTTACAATGGAAGATAGTCCTACTCTGAAAGGTACTTTGGCAGGTAAGCATTGTATGTGTTTTACCTACAATGATGATATTCTTAAATTCTATAAGTTCCTATCACAGTGGTGCTTACGCATGTTTTTAGGGTGATATAGGGTTTCATTGGAATTTAACATCATGTCATGGGTTTGAGAAATAGGTCAACAGAAAGGAGGTTGTTTACACCCCAGCATTGGCTTGATTTCCTTGTTCAATTCTTCTTCACTCACCTTCAACTAAATTTGTAATGGATCTTATTTTTCAGTTGGAATACTGTAAGCATGATCACTGTAGAAGAGCTGCATGCACTTTGCACAATGTTTCATAGATTACTAGCTTAATGCTTGCCTAGGTCTCACTAGTACTAATAGAGATTCTTTGTTGTAGTAGGTTCCTTCTTGCTTTTTAGAGAATACTAACACAGAAGTTTTTTTATCCTTCAAACAAATGTAATTAAATTGAGACTACTCCTTGATTATGGCTCTATAATGAAAGGTGGTAAAACTGATTGCAAATTTGACCTACAGTATCTCTCCTGCATTGAGTTAATGAAGCTATTTTAAATACAACTTTGCCTCTGTGTGTACCATAGACATTGAACCACATGGAATGCATTAATAGATTAAAGGAATCCCTGCTGTTAAGTAATTGGCTTTATTGCTAAGGAGTACTTAGAGATTCTTTTAACCCTGTTAAGGTGTCTACAGTTAATTTAAATCAAAGCTGAAACCTGAAATGACAGCTCATCCAGACAAAATTACCACATAAAGGGCAACAGGACAAATAAGATCTGTCTGTAGAACATGCAAAGTGTGTATGTATTTCCAAGGGTTTAGTTAATATATTTTTGTATTCTGCCTTGTGATCTTCTGAACAGGTTTGCACAACTTCAGTGGGGTCATTTTTCAGTTTGGCTGGCTGCTTGAGAGCTTCATTCAAGGCTAAAAAAACTAATTTCCTCTTCTCTTTTGGTTTCTAAGTTTTTTGATCACTCAACAATTGCTTGATAAGTAAATGATTTTTAAACTTTAAAATTTATTCCCCTTCCCAGTAAAATATTATTCATCCTGTGAAAGTTGGATATAATAGTCCTTTGGGCTAATTCTTTAAATAATAATTCATTAAACATGTTTCATTCATTAATTCCAACCTTTAAGTACGGTATTTGTTCATGTGTGCTTTAAAAAGGCAGCAGAATTAGCAGAAAACTGGGGATCTGTGATTCTCTGGGGGGTTAAGAGTACCTCAGACTTACCGTACTTTTAATTAAAAGTTGACACTTTGACTCCTAAGGAATAAAAGGAGTACTTATCCACAGTTGTTAGTTAAGGTTTAAGAAAGAGAAATTGTGGGGAAATACTGAAGGTGGTAACTGGAGATTTCTTGCTTAAACCAACAAGAAGGCTTGTTTATTGCCATGTCAAGGTTCTTCTGTAGATTTAGCTATCTGCCAATGAATTTCAGTAGCAAATTGGAGAAAAAAAACCTCTCCTAGGAGAAAAAAGATGTCTGGTTATGTAAAACATGTGCTCTCAGTGACAACAAATTTCAATCTACCTTCCTGCTTCTCCTCTATCCATAACAACAGAACACATATGTTTGCTACAGCATCCAGAAAATCTCATCTATACTGTATATTTTCCTGACAACAAACTATTTCCTACATATTTAGAATCAAGTTAGGAAATACGCTCCGGATTTTGTCTTCTGATCTCTTTATTGGAATCTGGCTTGCATGTGGGCCTAAATCAGTTTGTTTGTCCCCTCTAGAGTAGACCTATTGACTCAGTTATTGGCCCAAATCCTGTTCATGTACCTTTGTGCAGTATAAGCTGATGTGCGGTATAAGATGATTTTAATGGAAGGCCTCCTCCGCACACTTTTGGAGCCTTTCCCGAGGCTCCCAAAGAAATCTCCAGGGTTAAAGGGAGCCCTAGGGAGCCTAGGAACCTCAAACAGGGATAAGAAACATTTATTTAATTTAAAATAAATGTTACCAGTGCAAGTTGATGACATCATAAACTCTGTCTGTGCAGTTTACATAACTGGGCTCATAAAATTGTATATTTGTTCTAGTTGGGGACTAACAGCTGGATTTATGCCTAATGTCTTCTGTCCTGCTGGTTTCTCAATATAAAAACCTTGGCACTAGAAACTGCATCCCATGTCAACCTCTTCCACTGTGCAACATGTGGGAAAACCTATCCCAAGGCCTTGTATCGTCCTGTATGTTTTCTTACCCTTTTTCTGCATTATTGTCTGTTTGAAAGTTGACACACAGCATGACAATGTCAGTTTGTTAGATCTAGGCATGTTGTTCATGGACTAGCAATTATGCTTCGTCCACCACACACATATACACAAACACACACATGTATGCATTCTTTCCCCTGATCTGTCACTCTTAAAACAGTGGGAGGCAAATAAAACACTGGCTTCTCTTTATAGAGAAAGCAATTTTCTTTTCCAACACTGCATGTATATTTCCAAGCCAACGTGTCTCATCTTCCTGAAGAGCTACTGAAAAGCAACTCTCGAACTGTGAGACCAGAGAAGAACTGTATGAAATGTCATCTCGGCAGGTGTCAAACTGTTTAATAGTCTTTGAGCCACCGAGACACTTAAATTTTACATTTTTTTCCCTTAGTACAGGTCTCTCCTGTCTGCCATGCCATTAAAAAAAATTCCAAAATTAAACAACCTGCTTTTTTGTGACATAAACATAACCACCTCTTCCTAAAGGAAAACTTTTTTTAGACAATTGCAAGCTTTCTTAAAATAAGTGTGGCTCTTCATAGTATTGTGTTTTCCATCTTAAGTATAATCTTTGCTGCTGAGGTTTTTTTGAGATACTGTTTATAGAATTATACCTATCATCCATAAGATTTCTCTTTAAAAATAGTGGTATTTTTAGTGTAGGAGGATATAAAAGGAATACTTGTTGTTTTCCTTCCTGAAATCTATATTTGTACTTAACGCTTGCTGCTTTTATCTTCATGTGTTCTCTTTTTATGTGAGAATTGTAGTGGCTTAGTTTCTAGGGGATGCTTGACATAGGAGAGGAAAATATATAGATTTCCGGCTTGTACTGGGGTGGGGCAAGTTTCTTGGCTTGCAAGACACATTGCCTTAGTGGAAACTTGTTGTTGACTGTGTGGTGGCAGAGAGCAGACCCAGAGTAGGTGGAAAACCCTCACTATAGGCAGAGGCTGTGGTGAAATTTTGGAAGAAGTGCCTCCTTAGACCGAAGGTTACCCCTGAACCCCACAGTCTTTCATAGACATGCTCATATAGTGTTCATCAGGTGTTGTGAGGCAGTAATGGCTGGTGGGTTTGACTCCCCTCACTTAATGGGAAGGGTGAAGGAAGTCTTCAAGGGCAGTGGCTGCAGGTACCTGAAGATGATGGCTCCTCGTGGTAATGATGGTGATTAGGAAGCATCAGCTAGCCACATAGGAAGGTCTTTATCTTCTGGGTATCCTCTACTTCTGGCCTACAGATTTCTCTTTAAAATACAAAAAAATTGGTGGGCTGTTTGTTGACTATATCTCATTTAGGCTTGGCCAGATGACAGTGTTTAGTGCAAACCAATAAATGTATTGATCTGGTCTTGTAAGGAAAACCCTATTGAGGACTCTTGATATTGACTTCTAAGGATAATTTGTGCCACTCTCTGTTTGCTCCACCACCAACATTTGGTGACGTTGTGTACGTGCTGGTTTGTTTAGAGGTGGCTTGCTGAATTAAATGGATTTCTGTTCAGTAGATGAAATGGATGGGGGTGGTCAAACTTCATGGGAGCTGCAATGGATTAGGGACTGGTGTTGTTGTTTTTTTGACAGGCACCCTGTATAGAGAGCCTAAGAGGCAGAGGGATTACCAGTCCTCCAAATCCTTGCAGCTCTCATGGAACTTAATCATTCCCACCCACTTCCCCTGTCTTTGTCACAGGAATGAAATGACTGATTCACCCTTCACTTCCTACCTGTGTGTAACTGAAAGCTCCTGTGAGTACTTTAATTTCTTGGCTAAAGCCCCCTGAATTCTGGTTGAGGGAATTCCTGGCAAAGTCTAGGAGCTGAAGTCTAAAAAGCACAATGCAGGAATAATGTGTAGGATCGTGTGTACAGTCTTTTTAAAGGAAAGGTGGGATAGAAATGTAACCAAGTAATATTTACCCAACTGCAGAAGCCCTGCAGTTTTTAAAATCTATATGACACCCACTTATTTGTAAGAAACTACCATATTTTTTTGCTCCATAAGACGCACCTGACCCTTAAGATGCACATAATTTTTAGAGAAGGAAAACAGGGAAAATATATTCTGAACCAAATAGTGTAATAAAATATTTAATAAACTATAACAGAATAACATTTGAACCATGTAAAGTGAACAGCAGTCAACAGTGGCATTAAGAACCATTACCACTGTCATTAACAAATAGAGAGACTTAAAACTTTGTGTACTCTAGTTTATATACCATAAATTTGTGTACCCTAAATTTAATTAAAGTACATATAGACCATTATCAGCCAGTGATAAGACCTATACCACTCTACCTATATTTTACATTTCCTTCCATCCACCTCCTCCCCATGCTTATAGAAATGTCTCAATGACAGATGAGATTGTTGTGCAACTCTGCCCAGTTACAGCTCAAGCCTATATTAAGTTAGAAATGGTTTGTCTGATTTGGCACTGCATTGAGAGG